CACGGGGCAAGAAAAAGGGGGGGGGGGGGTTCGCTTGACTTGCACCTTGATTACATGTCATGTATCTGTGTAGTAGCATTCACTGCCTGGCCTAAGTGATGTGTTGTGCGATTGTAGTGTCTGGTGTGGTCCGAGAGCCTCCCCTGACGTGCTGTTTGTCTGGCGTCTTTGTGCGTGGTGGTGTGAAACTCGCGACATGTGAGCCGTGGCTTGGTCTTGACGGCAGCGTCGAGACATGCTGTTGGAAGAGATTTTGGGATGTATGCGGCGCGCGGGCTGCTCCGCGGTTCCTACGTCGCCGTCACGGACGCAGGGGACTGCATTCTGCTGTTGCCGCTGGTGGTTGTGGCAGCTGGTGGAATTTGGACTTTACATAACCTTGGCATCCGTCATGGGGAGTTGATGCGTGCCTTGTGATGGCGGTTACGATGAAGCCGGCTGGGTGATTGGGGGGACAGGAAGCATAGTCCACCGTCCGTCGTGGTGAGAATTTGCGGGCGTGCTTGTTGTATCTGACTTGATGCGTGTCGGGGGGGCAATGGCAGGAACGTGATCGTGGACGTGGTGGATTTGAAACAACTGCATGTCTAACTCGGGTTAACGGATCCAATCGCGGTGCAAGACAGTTAGACAAGCAATGCCAGACATGTATGGCGCGCAGAGGAGCAACGTCGGTATCAACAGCAATGTTCACAGCAACACGGCATCAGCGTCGACAACTGCATTTACATCAATATTTACGGCAACATGAACGTAACATTAGCATGAGCATTTACAGTAATGCTAACAGCATCAACAACAGCATCAACAACAGCATCACCTTCACCATCACCATTAGCAACAGAAGCTCTCCCCTACCCGCTACGTGGCCATTAGCCTCCCCTCAAACAACTCGAGCCACGGCGTCGCCCATGCCCTACGCAACGTTGTAGCCCCGAGCCAACAAAGCCTCGAGCAAACGCCGTCTGGACTCCCAACCCCCCGATTCCCATTACCCCTGAAGCCACCATGAGCCGCGCCGGGGTACCTCTGTTAGGGATTCCCTCGAGCCGTCCCAGCCATATAATAGGTGCACAAGCCAAGTATGCATCCCTTCTTACCAACCATCACATGACGGGATAGCGTCCGAGTAGCTTCAACGGCTCCCTAGCGGAATAACCCTAAACCCACGGACCGGCAACTTGCCTACATTATACGCGCCGTGCCTAAACTGATCATCATCTATTTGTGTTGGAAAGGAATATACATTCAAACTTAAAACTCAAACTACAGGCCTGAGTGAGGTCGTCGCATCACCATATTTCCGATATAATAACCTTGTCACACCGTCGCCAAACCCAAATACTGGAGATGGCTGAACCTTGTGCAACTGCGGTCGCACGAGGACGCGGTGGTTCTTCTTTCTCTTTTATTTTTCGAGGGATGATGGCTGTTTACAAAGTTCAGACTTGCGTCGACGACCTGCATTATCGAGGTTGGGAGCCGGTCGAGCTGGGCGATCCATGACTCATGATGAAGGGACGGTGTTGTGAATATGTGGTTTTTGAGTTGGCTTGGGGTGGACAGGAGGAGGATGCATACATGTGTCTGGTACCTTTGGTATCTGGTGGGGGAGGGGGGTGTAAGGAGAGGAATGTTGAATAGAAACCGTCTTGTTCTGTCTCCTTCTGCCCTAGCTTAGCTCGGGGAGTTTGTATAGCCGTTGCGTGTTTATAACCTTGTCATCGGCATGGAGCGCACGTTTCGCGGCCATGCTCTCAAGTAACGCTTCACCGCTGGTGCTAGAACGAGTTTGTTGCCAGCATCTGCCGTACCTGAAGGGTCGTTGTGGAATAGTTATAACGGGAAACTCTCGGCCCCCTCTGCGAGGACATTGCCCCCTTGCCAGAAATCAACAAGATAGAATTCATCTCGTAGGGTTAGGGTAAGGACTGATATGCAGCGCTAGGGTCAGGGTTAGGGTCGGAATATATACCTGGGTTAGGGTTATTTCCACGGCCAACATCTGCAACTGTATGTTCCGTAAATCGGTTCTCGCACCGTTGACCAGGGTTCTCCGTTCGATATGCTCATGGAGGCTGGGACGGAGACGAAGGAACCCGCACATGTGCGCCAAACCGCCGGGTGCAAAGTGGATAGTTGAGCGGTTCTTCTGATCTCGTGGTCGGTTACAGTGGTCATGTGTTGAGGTGTCGAGCCTGCCAGAATGAGCCCCTTTTTGGGAACCCTCGTTTCCACTTCCTCTACCCAACATCTTTTCGGACAGCTGGACCTCGTAGGCTGGGCGTCCTCGCCCGCCCTTTCTGAGACGTCAAGTTCGGCATTGTGGTTCGGGCTCTGTTGGTGCTACAGGGGCGAACTTGCCCAGTCTCACGAGCCCAGTTCTATGTCCGTGAAAAGAAAAAAAAAAAAGAGGAAAAAAAAAAAAAAAAGACCGTTATTGACAAGAATGACATTTGCAAACGTGGTTGAAGTGTCGGTACGAGGAGCTTCCATGCACATTCTGGACCGATATGGCATTGATAATAGCCGTCATATGGTTCATTGGCCCTTGATGCCTTTGCAACTTCTCTTCTTTATAAATCCATGGCGCTTCTATGGCTGACCGTGCCATTTTCACCATCTCATGTTTTGAAGGGGCAGCATGTCGTGAGTCTCCTGCCCAGATCATATACACATTATTCCTCTAAAAAAAAAAGACGCCTCCTCCCGGCCTTCATCATGACCTCTCCTTCCCTTTCTTATCCTTCTTCTTCTTCCCGCTGGACCCCGCATTCCCCTCGTCGCCGCCATGCCCAGCAGCACCCGCCATCAAGGCACTCATGGGATCCCCCCCGCTCTGCATCTCCTTCATCATGTCCTTGAACAAATTCTCCGACACGCCGCCTCCCGTCATGGCCGGACTCAGATACGGCAAGTACTCGCCCATCTTCCAGCCCCTCGGCACCGCCGGCTTGGGGTACGGCTTCCCCTCGGGCGGCTGCACCTGCCCGCCCATCCTCACCCTCAACCCGGGCGAGTTCTCCGTGGTGGGGTTCTGCTGCAAATGCTTGGCGATCAAAATGTACAAATGGTGCTTGCTCTTGATGCCCGACGGATTCTGGGGCGTCTGCTTCAGGCCGACTTTTACGCGGCCCGGGTTCGCCCAGTCCTTGGGATGGGTCTTTTCCGGCTCGAGCAGCGTGGGCAGGCGGAGGCGGGAGCAGGCGTTTGCGATTTCGCGCGCCAGGGGGTTGCGCACGGCGAGCGAGGCCGGCACGCGGCGGCCTTGGGAGAGGGTGCGGCTGGCGTCGAAGTAGACTGGGTAGATGCACTGGAAGGAGGAGTAGGCGGAGCGGTCGGCGTCGTGGGCGAGCATTTGGCTGGGGAAGTTTGAGGGGGCGGGTGCCGGTGGTGCAGAGGATCTGGGCGGCGGTTGGTGTTGGGAGACGCGACGCATGATGTCCGAGTCGATAAAGTCGTCAATGTCGCCTTCTTCGGGGTCGGACGCCACGTCTGGGTCGCTGTCGGAGACTTCTTCTACCCGTGGGTGAGACATGTTGAGTATACCAGAGAGGGGCGGTGACGGATTGAAATGACGATGGGGGCGTGGGTAGCACGGCCGGGCTGCTTGGATGCCCGCCGAAGTGGTGATGAAGTGAGGTTTGGTGTTGAGGTAGTTGCCAGCTCCCGAATTTGATTCAAGGTGGTCAAATGGTGGGGCCTAGTGGGGCTGGGTGAGTCGAACCTGGCAGACAGAATGGCGCTAGTCCTACTTGGGGGAAACGGCCATGACAGAGACTATTACATATGTTGCCGAATACTTGACATGTTGAAATCTAGGACAGACTCACATGTGGCGCTCTTGTCACAGCTTAATCTACAACTGACCGTTCTCCGAAAAATGTTTGGTCTATACGCCATCTCGTTCAGTAAGCACTTGATCCCGCCTCGAACAGGGAGGATCCGGAAAGCATTTTGAATTTGATGCCTGGGGATAAAGCAACGAGCATGTCGGGCAAGGGGAGGAATTTGACTGCGCTTGCAGATGCTTCTCAAGACGTGGGTACTAGCATCGTTCCCTTTACTTCCAAAGCGCCTTTGTGCTGACGCTATGTAGCCTCAAAACCCTTTTTCCACCGAGGATCAAGCAAGATCAACTGACTGTCTCTGATGAGAAACCTCCGTTCTCCCAAACTCATCAAACATAAAAAAAAACAACCATAGGTCATACACATGCTCCTCTCAAAACGCCCCAACGTCGTTCATGAGGGTGAGAGATTCATCGGCTCAAGTGCGTATGGATAAGGCGAAATGGAAAGACAAGGAGCCCACACGAATCTGTATACGGTCTTTCGAATGCTGTTTTTTCTCACTGGTTCGCATTCTGCCAAACATCCAATTTCACCAGATACCTCCGCGGGCCCAGCCAACCAGGACATCATCACCCACAACTACTCCTCATATCCATTTTCCAGCGCAGTCCCGTCGCCAGGACACGCCTCAAACCCGAAAATCACTCAGCCGACACTGCTTGCACCACGCGTCTTTGCGCAGGTAACACGGCAAGGCACCTCCACGGAAGAATGCAATGCTCAAAAGTGCCGACGTGGATGATGTGCAAGGCCACTCCACACATTTGACATCAGCCAAGATAACCGAGGATGCCAAGCTTTTTGCTCCCCCCCCCTGCCTCACACAAAATTAATGCCAGCGTTCACAAAAGCGTCACAAGGGCTCAAGCCTCGACGGCAAGTTAAAAAAAAATATAGATAGTCCCATAACTACTATACACAGAAGCCACCCTAGCCAAGGAGAAAAACGAGCCCTATCAAGCCAGACCAAAGCGCAATCTGCATTTACGTCGTCCCCGCCTAGCAAAGTAAGCGGTTTGCCTTGTTCTTGCGAAACCGCTTTCCGTGAAGCTTTAAAAAACGATCCCTTACTTCATATATATGTATATATGTATATATATATGTGTGTGTATGTATAGTGCTGTAATGACTGTAATTCATTTTCATTTCATCTTATTTGGTTTGCCTTGATGCTTGGGTTTTTGAATTTCGTCCCGGGGGGATGAGCGTCCTCGGGGAATTTGCAAAAGGGGTGTATGCAGACGTTGTCGCGGATGCTGGGGCACTGTCGAGGAAGAAGTGCTGTTAGCAACATGCCGGGTACATCCACGCGGGGCATAGACTTGTCCACAAAAAGAATTGAAAGGCACAAAAAAAAAAAAAATAAAAAAAAAGAAAACTTACGTGATGGCCGTAGATGCACTCGTCAGACTCGCAGTCCTGCCCATTTGTACACGGGTTTTGACGAGCCAACACGGCAATGGCGTTAATCTCCTCGCTGCTAGGCTTGTAGTCGTGGACAAAGAAGCACGAGTCACCCTTGGTGCAGGGCCCTCGCAGGAAGTGGTTGTTGCACAGCTTATCCGACTCCTTGCGCTTCTTGATGCTCTCCATGGCGGAGACGCTGACGATGATGGGCTCGTCCAGCCCGCGATGGCCGGGGTTCCAGTCGGGCTGCTGGGGGGGAATCTGCTGATACTGCGCCTTGGGGGCTCGGCTGGCGACGGGCTTGGGGACAATGGGGAGCGAAATCTGGGGAGGGGGGCTGCTGTTGCTGCTCGCGGCGTTGGCGTATGATAATGACGAGCGGCCTGGCGTGCTGGCCGATCCGATACTAGTGGCAGGGCTGGCAGTCCTAGGTCCGGCTGCCCAGCTGCCCGGCTGCCAGGCTGATGATGTATTTCTATCGGGCCATTTGTCGTTGCGGAAAAGGTCCCTTCCCAGGTCCATGCTGGGGATGGTTGTGGCGACGAGCTCGGGGACGGTGGGGACGCCTTCGATGATGGTCATGCGATGGCGGGAAAAGTCGTTTTGGGCAATCTTGTCGAGCAAGGGAGCGTATGAGGCATCGTGGGAGATGCCCAGGAGAATATGTCTGCAGTTGTAGTTTTCGAGGTGAAACTGTATATTATCTGCGAATCGGGTCAGCAGCTGGTTTTGAGACTTTGAGACTTTATCCTTGGTCTGGGAAAAAGCGCAGCATTTACTCCTGATTTTGGACGAGACACAGTCCTTGTTGTGTCCAGCATCGATAAAGTCGAATGTTGCCTCGCCTTGGGTGAAGCCCGAAGCAAAATCCTTCAAGTCGGACAGGTCGCGACCCAAGAACTTGGCCAGGCCGCCAAAGTTGGCCACCACTTTTGTAATAATTTCGACGTCGGCATGCTCGCCGCACTGAGCGGTAATGGCGTCTCGAAGCGCGCGAGCAGCCTTCCTGCCGCCTTCGACGCCTTGCTTGATCCATTGGTCGCGGAACTGTGTCTGTGTTTAGCGCATGGGCGTTCTTCACGCGCGTGTCTTGCTAAGTTGTACATACCAGCAGGCCGTCGCCGTCAATCATGACGAGAATGTATGCATTGTGGTTCTGTTCAAAATTTGAGTCTCGGCGCAAAGCGTCGCAAAACGAGAGCATCGCCATACCCTTATTTGTTCGATTTCCTTGGTCACCCAATCGTTTCTCGCCTCGCTGTTCTTCAGCTGGGTCTGCAAATCTCTCTTGTCGCGTTTGCACTCCTTGAGCTCGTCGACGAGTTGCTGGTTCTGAAATCGCAAGGCGGTTTCGAGCTTGTCGCAGTACACGAGGATATCCTGCCACGGGGCGTTAGCATGCGAATCCCAGCCAAGCACCTCGCAGAATGGCATGCGACCAACCCGAATCAACAGATCCGACGAGTCTCTATGCTGCTGTATGACCTGAAAGCGCTGGAAAAAATCCACAAGATTTGATCCTGCCGACATCTTGTCTGAAGAGTCGTAATAAGGCGCGTGGTGATTTCTGTCCTGAGACTTTAGGGCAGACATTTGGTCGAGATGGAATTTCCTAGGTACGCGGGAGGGGAAGAGGTGACGATGAGATGAATAAAGAGTATTAATAGTTCGGCAAACCGTGCTCTCTATTACAATACGGAGTACGGAGTACACAGATTATAATTTTAATGTGCACATGTGCCCGTTCACACCCTGGTCAGCTCCAAGACTCAGTCCGGGGTCGACGAGATGGGGGGAAACAGGAGGCTCAACAGGGCCGGCCCCTGTGCGACGGGAAGAGGTCAAAAAAATAAAAATAAATTCAAAGAAAAGAGAAGAAAAAAAGAGCTTCAATACGACGCCACCCAACGACCACGGTTGGGTTCGAAGTAGGGGTAACAGAGACACCTGGGGGGTTGACGATGAAGAAGGGGAGGGCGCAGTCGAGAAGGGTATAATATATTTGTTTTGCGATTCTAAAAGCCTGGCGAAATCGCAGTCCAGGCGCGTAGAAATACTCAAGCAGAGAGAAGAAGCTTTTTAAAAAGAGTCAAAGCAAGCGAGAACCAGACGAGTGGTTTTGTTTTATTTTTGGAATGTCGACCGGTAATTTCTCCCCCTTCAATGATTTTGGGCAAGAAGAGGAAAAAAAAAAAATTAAGACTAAAAATTGATAGGCGACCTGATAAGAGAAGCTGGCGGCATCAGTGTTTCCACCCCTGCATTTCTGGACTTATTCCTGGGGGCCAGCGGCTGCGTGCATTGGCTCGTGTCGGCTTGAGGGATGGCCTAGGGTTGCATGGCCTCTCGGGGAGGCGATCAATCAAGATGCGGGATGCGGGCGGCGCAGTGGGGCCCAATCTACTGCCCCGTCCTGTGTACCTGAAGTGTTCCAGCTACGGCCATTGTCGGCCACCCAAGCAATCAAGTATCAAGGCAATGAATAAGTTATATCATCTTGTTGCAGCGTCACGTCGATGCTGCGGCGCCATTGTGGTATTGAGCTGCGCCTCGCTTCCCATCGCCTTCGTTATGCCACGCAAAGACGCAAACGCGCAATGCAACTCGCTACGCACTCACCGTGTACATGTACAATGAAACGCCAGAGAGCGACTCTCGAGTCTCAGCCCAAACAAAACCCTAACCACGCAACACGGCGCCTTGCCGACCGACCGCCTTTCAAGCTCTTCCAATCAAAGGTCTGTGCCTCCCCCTCTCTCCTAAACGTCACATCTGCTTGCAACTCCCCATGTTTGTCTTGTCGCCCGCCCGGCCTCTACGCGCCTTCAAGCCGCCCGCCTTGCAACCAGGACAGTACCGAGTTCCATCACGACTACGGAGTACGTAAAGCACAAAGCATCTTTCGTACAACCACCACCCGTGAGCCAACCGCCTGGTTTGCATGTCTCCGTTACCAAACGAGCCTGACGTTTGTCGCCCCCTGCTTTCACACGTCGCTACCTTCCGTGTAACTCTGGTGTTTCGATCGGGGGGCAACTGGCTGGTCTTTCTCATTGTGCCCTGTTCGGTTGCTTCTTGGCGTTGCCTTGACGTTCATGCGTCATTGTTCCCTTGACCGCTTCATGGGGCCCCAGTCGTTGACGTGCAGAATTTGAATTCGCGACATGGGTGATGCGTGTTGTCGCATTCTTTTTTACATCGTCGTTGTCTGCAGCTGACTGCATGGGGCTTTGCACCCTTTCGGAGCTGTCGTTGTTCTCGCGTTGGGTTGTGGTGGGCCGGATTTGATGTGTCTGGGAAGCGCTCGCCAGCACACAAGCGTTGCATGTCCAGGGTGACGCTCTTGCAAGCGCCCGTCGCACCTTGGACGCCGTCAAAGTACATCAAGCGTCATTGACCAGTTAGTGGATCCCGTGAACACTGGGTGATCACGAAGAACATCGCCGAGAAATACTCGGAGAAGCCCATCGCATCGCTCTTCGGTCGGGATACCAGGCCCTGGAGTTGCATGCAGCATAGCCCCCGATGGCTTAGGAGGCGTACAAACACCGCCACGGCACTTGGGAACAATCTTGTTGCATAGGAAAGCGAAGAGCCAAGGTGAGCGCCTATATTGGAAGTCAGATCCTTGGCATCTTGCCGTACGTTTCATCTTCACCTCCGCAAACACCGCGGTTGGTTGCCGGCAGCCACCTGAGTAATTTCTTGACGCATACCCGAGTATGTCGAGATTGCCATCCTATCAAATTGCGTCCGAGCCCTATACCCACGACAGCACTTCCTTCCCCCAGAGAATAATGAGAGATGTTATTTCCCAATCATGACCAAGGTAGGAGGAACATGCAACCCTCGCCAGTAATGTCCAAAACCGCAGAAAGCCGCCCGATGCAGCCCTTGTAACCACGGCCCGCAGTTTTTAACTGCCGCTCTCCCGCTCTATGCATGCCATCATCTGGGCTGAAACTGGTTCAACACCTGCCAAAGCGTACCATCGGCTATGTCCCCTCCAAACTGCCACTCCGGCGCGCCCCTTTCGCCGGGACCCATCTCCGCAGCCGCCATTATACCGCCGCCATCCTGCACCGCCGTCAGGTCATTATATATCAAATCTGAAGTAGCAAACGTCGGCATGATATTCGACAGACCATCTGGCGCAAAGGCCCATTCGCTGGGTGACAGCCACGTTTCCCCCGGCATGTCTTGCCTGGCGTTTCCCACATCTTGACCCTCGACTGCGCTCTTCGCCATGCTTGTGCCTGGGAGTGAACTAGCTGGCCAGACAGGTACTGGGTTTGTGTTTGTGTCCAGTCTCGCAGACCCGCTGGCAGGCGTATGGTCCGAAGGTCCCCTAGTGGAGGATGGCGTGTCGGAAGTCTTGGAAGGCGAAGCTGAATGAGCAAGCGCCTTTGTGAATTTGCCCAAAATGGCACGAAGAACACCCTGTGCGGCCTTGGCGAGTGGATTGCGATGCTGCATTGTCGCAAAACGCTCTATGGCCCAGTGGATGTGTTGGACGGATAGTTGCCTGTGTTCTGGGTGGTCGTGTGGAAAGAGGATGTATACAGAGGCAACGAGGACGATGGCGTCAAATGTTCCAAAGAAGAGCATAAAACTAGGGCTCGTTAGCATTTCGCGGCTTCTTCTTCACTCGACCACGTTCGCGTGTGAAACTCTTCACCGGCACAACTTACTTTCTCCAGGATGTAGAAGGTAGACCCTCAAACATTGATCTCTGCATCTCCAACATGGCCAAACCGGCTGTTAATGCCTCCGACCTACTCTCCTTCCTATGGAACAGGTATGGTCGATGCAAGGCCATCAGAGTGAAATTGTGAATGAGGTAGAAGTAGTATCGCGTCCCCCCTATCCACCCCTCCACCTCGGGGTCGTTATCCCAACGAGTGTCAGCATTTTTCAGCCTGAATATAGCAGGCGTTGAATCATGGATACGCATGATTTTCTGGTGAACTGTGTCGATTTTGGAGAAATCCTTCGGGTAGGGACCTTCATGTTCGAGGTCCTGGATGTCTCGTAGGGGCAAACATATTTCGTGCAACCAAAGGCAACGAGTCAAAGCAGTAGGAGGGTCCTTTTCCGGATTTCGAGGGGCGATAGGAGTATTCGAGCGGTTGGATGGCACTGGAGTGTCGATCGGCAGGGATGGGAGGCTGTGGCGCCAGTCCACGGTACCGGGTCGGCCTAGTATTAGAGACATGTTGATATCCCTGAGTTGTCAGCAGCTGTTTTGTTTGTTACAAGGGAGAGGGGAGGAGGGGGAAGTGGACAGGCCGGCAACATACCACATCGCGAGAATCATGTACATCTTGCGCCGTCTCTCGATAAGCCACTGATTCTCAATAACGCTCTCCAAACTTGTTTCTGTGGGCTTAGGATCGAGGCTATCCCGATGCATGCCCAACTCTTGAGCATCTCTGATAGCAATTCCAATCATGTGCCACTACGCCATTCGTTAATCTTGAACTTACAAAAACAGGTCAAAACGCTCAACAGGGAGGAAGAGGGAAGAGGGGAGGTGGGTGTCTAACCGACTCAGTAACATTAGCAGTATATTTCAAGAAGCAAGCTCTCAGAAACTCGGCCTGGACCGTCGTAACACTCAACCCCTTCTTCCCAAACAATCCCACAATTTCCGCCCCGCTAGCACTGTAATCACACGCCAAGTCCTCAAAAGTCATATTGGCGGCATACTTCAACGTCACAAACTCCTCTTCCTCGCCGTCCGGAAGAACCAGTAAGGCCGCAGCAATCATTTGAAACAAGACGGCCGGGAAAACCCTCAAGCCAGGAGAAATACCCCGCGGTCCTTCGGTGGAGAATATACTAAACGGGAGATTATTCCACTGCTGGAGTTGGGCGAAGAAAATGTCCGGGTCGACAAAGTAGTACTGCCAGTTAAATTCGCGCATACACATGGCCACGAGCTTGTCGATGAAGACCTTGGCGGGGAGATGCCGTATGAGGTCCTTGTACCTTTCGCGCACAGCAAAGGAGTCTTCGCGGGAAGTGCAGGCTGATGAGAGGGTAGAGAGTGAAGATTGGTCGTCGGATGAGGGGGCCGTTTCGATTTTTTTGAGAAAGGAGATGGTCGATGCTCCAGTTTGGCCGTATCCCCATGTTGCGGCCATGGTAGAGAGCGGTTCTGTGATTTCCAGGGGCGTTGAAGATGCCGAGATTTGGGGCAGTTGGGTGGATGGTGATATCTTGGTGACGAGGCTGTCGTTGTTGTTGTAGTAGTAGTAGTAGTTGTTGTTGTTGGTGGTGGTGGTGGTGGTGGTGGTGGTGGTGTTCCCGTTGTCGAATGTACGGGCACTTGGGTCGTAAGAGCAGAATGTTTCACGGTTTCTAGAGCGGCAGTTTGCGCAAGGAAGTTCTCGGTCACACTGGCTATGTTAGTGTTTAGTGTCATGATAGGATATGCAGTGACTAGGTGAAATTCGCCATGGTTGGGTTCTCTGAAGGCGTTGACGGAGTACCTTTTGCTTCCTCCTGTGACACTCCGTACACGACACAACAATCCTCCTCCTCTTCTTGGGAGGGCCCTTTCCGGACGGCGCTGGCGCCTCTGTCTCGAGCATCGAATCGCTCATGGCTTGGATCGTCTCTGTACGCAAACTGACGATACCTCACCACTCAGTCAGGAGCCAAGCCAGGCCATCAACGTGCAAGTAATCTCAAGATTTCTACCAGCCGGTGCCTTCCTGTCTGGTGGCAACTTTCGAAGAACTATCGGTTCAAAGATGCAGCTTCTGCGTTGAACATGTACGGTGTGAAGCCGGCCATGACGTACGTACATCGAAGTTGAAATTGAGTTGAGGTGACATGTCAACCGTCACCGTTGCCCATCCAAGCTGAAAGTCAGATTGTCGCTACCGGTTGGTGGGGCCGGAGTTAACAGTGAGGGGCTCCGGGCCAACATTCGGCCAGCATTCGGCCAGCATTCGACATCTGGATGTCAACTGGTGGTTCATGTGCCCACCAGTTAGTTAACCATGAAGCTGTAGTTACCAAGCTATCCGCAATGGAACCAGGCTCCTGCATGCCACCCACGCCACAACCACCACATCTAGGCCATTCAGGCGCCCACCAGCTCGTTTTCAGCGCTTCTGGTTTGGCGCTGTTGCCTACGGAGTACTCCTTTCGATGTTGACGGGGTGTGAGGTGTGGGGGACTACCGAGACCGAGGCTGGCTGCGGGAGACTCACAAGATGCAGCTTGACGACTTTCGCACATCACGCGAGCCGAAACGAAAATGTGGAGAGATGCCGAGTGGTGCCATGTCGCAGCCCACGTAAAATTTCCGACTGCATCGGCAGATCGGACCAGTTTGAATAGGGCAATTCATGCTAGCTCTGTAGTTGCAGAGCAAAGTGTCTCGGCAAACGCTGTTCAGAAAGACAATATTCGTAAAAAAACATAAGCCAAGTACTCCAACGTTGTTCTCCCTCTGCGCATCCCTGGTAGCATCCCTCAACTAAGATCTGTTCCATTCGATTCTCCAATCGGGTCACTATTCCCTTGTCTCGTTCCTCATCTTCCTCCAGACCCATCTCATATTCTTGTGTCCAACCGAGTAAAACATTCGCCCAATATTGAACCCACTTTGCTACCCAACATAAACACCACTGTCCCACTTTTTGCATAGACTATGAAGGAATTAAAAGTATGTAAAATTGACAAATCAAGGTAACATTTCCTCCTGTACGTCGATACGACGCTCTGGGAAGCCGCTTCCTACCGTTGCATTCAGCGAACCCTTTCCGTGTATGCCTTCCATGCTGCCGAGCGGTATCGTTCTGCCTCGCCCTCGGGGTCGCTTGCCTTGAGGATGCCGCGACCGACAATAACGATATCTGCTCCGGCAATGCCGATGATCTTCTGAGGTGTATTGTATTGCTGACCCTTGCCATCGCCTTGGACGGATCCGTCCTGGTCCTCGTCCTGGGGCGGCAGCTGACAACCAGGCGTCATGTGGATAAATTGGTCGTCGACTTGTGTGTTGAGAGCCTCTTGTGAAACAAATCCCATGACGAAGTCTCTGTGTTCTCTGGCAGCTTCCACGCATGCTTGTGTGTACTCCTTGTTCATAAAGTTGCCTGCCGATGACATTTGTGCTAGAATAAGTAATCCTCGGGTCATGGGCGCTTCTTCGATACCGGCAAAGAGGACTTCGTCATCACCAGCCATGTTTTTAGTCAGTCGTGGCGAGTTCACAGGCTCATATTGTTGCGTCACTGTAGTAACCGAGACAATGCTCCCCTTTCGTCCGTCATCTGTCCGTCTAGGCACGCTGTCATTGGCGTCGTCGCGACCACTAGAGCCTATATCGTGGTCCTCAAACTCCTCTGCGGTAGGAGTGCCTACGGAGACCGACGTCTTGACCTCGTAAGGATATCGCTCGAACCATCGAGTGGCAGCGTTTTCTAACGAGGTCACCGAAGCCTTTCCAGGTACCATGTTCACGTTGACGATATGCGCCCACTCAATAATTCGAGCTGAGCCGCCAATATACTGCATTTCCACAGTATTGCCGATATCACCAAACTTGCGGTCCTCAAAGATCAAGAATCCATGACGACGAGCCAATGAAGCCAATTTTGCGCCGGTGCCGGTTTGAGGGTGGAAATCCCATCCAGAGACCATGTCATAGTGTGTCTTGAGAACGACAATGGACGGGCCAAGTTTGTCCGCAACGTAGATAAGCTCTCTGGCGGTGGTGACATCCGCGCTCAAACATAGATTGGACGCCTTCAGATCCATGAGCTTGAAAAGGTAGGCATTGAGCGGGTGAGTGGCCGTTTGAGCCCTAGAGGCGTACGTTGCCTTGAGGGTTGGGTGTTGTGTCATGTTGATGTTTGTCACGACTCACGACCCTGGACACTGACGGGCAATTGGTGTGCGGTGTTGGCAGGTGAGATGAGATGAGATGAGGCTGAACTATGCTGATCCGATGCGACCTTGGAAAATGGGTGGCAATCTGGCAACTGGAACGTCCCGAGTCGAACAAGAGCCAGTTGCTTTGCGTCGATATATTTTTTTTTCCAACGAGTTATTTCCAAGTCAAGATTGTTCGCGGTACTGTAAGACTGGGTAGCTTTGCCCAGGATTTTGAGAGGATGGTCTCGTGATTGAGGCAGGGGTTCGAGCTTTAATAAGGGCTGTAGAGTTTAGACCGCTGGCCACCAGAACCGTAGTGCCAAGGATCGAATCTCCTGATTGAGCGCAAAAGCTATCCGGCCTAAGCTAGTTAATAGCTAGCAAAATCGTGCCATATCACGGGTGAAAGGACTGACAATTTCCAACAAAGATTTGCGAGAAAGCGCCAGAAAAAAAAAGAGGAGCGATCAAAAAATGACAGAGCCAAGCTGCAAAGATGCAGCAGGGGTGTTCAAGCCCAAGTGGTTCTCGGAGAGAGCCCTGTTGGACACTTTGGGCGGGTTGGACCCATGGGACTGGGCTCTCGAGTGGACAAGGAAAACTGTCAACGGGCAGGGATCAAAAACAGGAACGAGGGTCTGGTCGAGAACAGGCGCCTCCGGGTTGCTCAAGCGCAGGAGGATGTATGCGGGTTCGGAGAGCGGCGTTGGTCGTTTCTGTTGCGGTTGCTCATCAAGAGTGGCAACGATATTCGGTCCCCTTCCCCAGTAAGGGCTACTCCGGCCAAGATAGACGCGATTACTCCGTAGATGCAAGCGAGAAAGCGAAGGCGAACTCGGTGCACTGAGGGCGAGGCTTGGGGCTTGACTTGGAACAAGCACAGGACTTGTGGTACAAGGGCAAGGTTGCGGTTAAAGCCCCAAGACTTCACCAGAAAGCAGAAAGGGAAGGAAAAGGTGGCTCCAGTAGCAGACGGGTTGAGAGGTTTACCGTGGACTTGACCAACACCGCACGTCGAGTCGAGTCGACAGAGGAAGATGCGGGTGCCCCCCAAGCGCCGAAGGATACCGGTGGACTGGCTGTTGGACTGGCTGGCCACGACAGGAGGCCAATGATTTCGAGGCTGCTGAGGCCCTGGCCTCAACTCGGGAGACCCTGCAAACCGTGACCCATGGGTGGGTGACGTGGTAGCATTGATCAACCAGTGGCGTGCCCATCTGCGCTGTAGTGTGAGTGGTGAGGTGTCAATCTGGAGATGGGTGGGTGCCAAAGTCGATCGCCATCGAAGCCTTGCGTCTCCAATCCACCTACTCCGTACGGAGTACATCCACGAACCGAAATGGCAAGCGATGCAGGCCGGAGGCTGCCCTGGCGACGGCATCTTCTGGAACCGTGTAGCCAGAGCCAATGCCTCCTGAAGTCGAGTTTTTGGCATCTTGATGCTGGATGGTCAATGTGTTGATTTCATGTTGAAAGGAGCCCGGAATTCCGAAGTGCACAAGGCCCATGGCAAGATTCGGGATGATGGGGCCCCAGGGGGCATTCATGTTGACAGGGGCAGGAGCGCGCAAGCTGCAACAGACCATGGACGGAAGGAGGCACTGGCGGTGACTGCAGGGCATCTCAATTTTATCTTGCTCAACATTTTTAAAGCCTGGCGCTTTTTTCAACTGCAAGCATCTCACCACGACACGTTTTTGGTCACATGCCCTTCGAGTCCAGAGTCCAGAGACCAAAATGTCCCAAGTATGCTTTTTCCTTCGTAACGCGCCGATTTCATCAACCTGAAGCACAGTCCGTCAAGCTTGATTCCGTGAATGAATGAATAAATGACCTCTCCATGTCGATACCGGCCCTCGTATAGAAGTGAAACAACTCGGGACATGGCAGCCCAACAATGAAGTGTCGGGGCCATGTTCTAGTCTAAGCTTCAACGTTCACCCATACGTCACCAACAGCGATAGGAAGAGGCAAAACGTACCTAGGTATTTTACCAGGCCAGGTACCTGGGTGCTGCGGTCATATGATAACACTATTTTGTCAGTGTACTTGTTAACAGCAAATGCTTTTGCCAGAGACTATAACCGACGTAATGCCCACGGGCTAGCCACGCCGTCCGTATGATAGCTCTCATTTTGCAGCTCCCACCGATCCGCCGAGAGCAGATATAATACAGCATTATTTTTCACTCACGGGACCTCTCACAAGGCTCGAATGCCATTCGGGCCGGAACAGCACTGGAGCTTTCTCCGTGTGAAGAAAGTTCATTGGAGGGAGCTCTGCCGGCGGAAATCGTGGCTGGCGAGGCGCCCTGAGCTAATTCCCGCTGCAGACTTATCGAAAACACGATACATCAACAGAGCCTGGTACTCATGTTCAACTTCGTCCACCTGCTACATATCCCGTGCCGGGCTCCCTGATGCCGTGCCGCTTCCCCCTCACCCCCAAAAGCTCTGAGGTATACTCCGTACCCCATGCAATATTTTCTGAGTGTCTGGTTTCCACAAACATCCCTCCCTGCTCAAGGATCCTCAAGCCTCCAGCATCCAAGACCAATGACCGCAAAGGCGCTAATGTGCCTGACCTGCAGCCTCCGGCAGGATAGTGCCTTCGATTTTCACACTTCTTTGCTATTGCTAGCGGAAAGAGCACTTTTTGCCGATGCGAAAAGAGTTTAATGGATAATGCCGTTTAGCATGGCCCCTTTGGCTAAACGCGGACGGCGAGAGCAAGCCCAAGGTTGGTTGTCTCGGCGTATCCGACGCTTGCAATAGCAGGGAATGTCACTGGAGCTCGCAAAGATGCCTGATACCCGACTCTCTTCACAATTAGAGGCATTCACAGCTTCAGTAGAAATAAGTGTTGGTGCATAGAACTTTTGGTATAATGCTCATGGGATGTTGCCATGTTGAGGTCCCCCCTCCCCACTTTGCCGATATCGACAGACTTCATGTTCTTTTGATTCCAGGTTGTCGAAAAAGCCAACAGCTATATTTTCATGGAAATGTATGCTTTTTGCACTTGCTGCATCTGTGCCAAGTCCCAATTTACGGTGGCAGTCTCCCGCAGTGTGCGTTGTCTCTACTACCCTTGTCCGGCTGACTGTAAGTGACGGAGATCGAGATGCACATATATGCACAGGTAACAAGGGTATGCATGGGGACGCAAATTTACAAGCCGTGCGCCGTGAAGGCTCTCAAATGCAGCTTGTTGTTGGCCAACTGACTGAACTGTTCCGTTTCTTCAGTCAAGGAGGCGGATTCACCCTGTCGCGCGCCTCACATGTTGAGATCTTGTAATGTTCCCGAGTATAGTTGGCAATGCTGGGATATGAGTCATGCAAAAACTTATATTGGTACCGACAAAGAACGAAATAGCTTCGTGAGAGCCATGATTGTGGTCGGGAACAACACCTGGCATGGGTTTCTTATCCTTCATCGGACCAAGCCCGGTGCAGTCAGTACATCTTTCTACAAAAGAAATGGAAGAGATAACGAATTCACCAACCCGAAGGACTTTCAAGTCAGATATTATTTCTGTCGTTCCTCATGTCTTATTGAACCAGGCAATTGTCGAGCTTCAAGGTAACCAGAAAAGTTCATTGTCCAAAACAGCAGCACAACGCAACCGACACCGGCACTCTCCTACTCAGCATTGCATGCCCATATTGACACCAATACCGACAAGGTATTGGCTACGATGCGCTCCCAACGTTCCGCGTTTTACCATCTGGGCTCCTGTTGATCTTGATCCACCTAGCTGGAAGAAGTCTTTCTGCCATCACCAGCTGGCGCCTGCGCCCTGTTTCAAGCTCAATTCACAAGACGTGGCATAGAGAAAGCAAGAAAGGAGCTGGCCAGTGTTGAGTCCAAAAAGACTCCAATCGCTGACCCAAGTTGAAAAACTGACTGTCACCATGGAATGTCAATGTATTGCATAAAGAGACGGCAATGCAGACGCAGACAAAAAGATCAATTGATTGACGTCTTGTGACCTCCAGCAGAGACTCAACCATGCCTGGTCACTTCGCCGCCCCGCAGAATAACATTTTTCTTTTGCTTTTTCTTTTGCTTTTTCTTTTTTATGCATGCTTGTGCGGGGTTCCGATGACTCGTTCGACTACAATCATCTCTGTCCCTGTTTGGCCTTTGTTGTCAGTGACCAAGGGACGTCTTCCAAGGCGAATTTATACCAAGTCGTCATCTAGGGACAAAATAACAGCCAGGGCTCCTGTGTTGCTGTTAGGATTGCCCATGGACAATGCTTGTCGGCTCGTCGGCTCATCGGCTGGTCGCCTTGGACATTTGCAGCTAGCATTTAAGGCGTACACATTCCGAATAAACATTTGTGCAGCAACTTACCAAGATCGCAGGAAACGGACCCTGCTCCCAAAACCCATCAGCCCTGGTCTCGACGGAGCAATGACCCAAACATAGAAGCGGGCTCCTACCATCTGGGTAGCCATTTACGATTCTAAATCATCAGCCCCGACAGTTCGGTATCGGTATATGAGCGTTCGATCACGACAGCTGTTGAATCTCCCTCAGACTTGGCTACGTCCGAACCACTTGCCACGGAGGCACAGCAGAGATCTTATTAAGCGAGGGACAAGCGCGTCGATGTCTACGAGTTGCGCGACAATGCCTGGTTTGATCGTGGAACGGGGTTTTGCGCCGCAGCCTTTGTGAATGTATGTATATCAACATTGCTGTCCATTTCATTGCGCAGATCGGACGCTGTGGCCGCTTTTGGTTGCGCGAAGATTAAATGACCGACTACTCCTCGGGTTCGCCTTAAACACTCTAATCGTGTGGCAAGAACCTGGCAGCGGAGTTCACATGGCCCCCAGCTTCCAGGAAGCTGAAGGATGCGATCTAACATCGTTCGAGATATAGCATCAGGCTCCTCCATCTTGGGCGATATTGATGGCTGTTTCTTTACAGGCAATTTATGGGAAATGTGCAATAAATGATCCTGAATGCAATTGGGGGAGATGATGTACTTTTAGACGATCTGGTCCTTGAGCCCCTAAGCTTCCTGCCGAGGAGCTGGGTAGTCTAACGGAATCTAATGCTCAGCAAAACTTCCAAAAGAACATGACAAGCGACTCAATCCAAGTCATATCACACAGCCTACTAGTTCAGGTTACGCATCCGTATCGTATAAGACTCATCCCGGGCGCAGTGTCTACGAGAGAGGTCTTACGGTTGCTGACGATGGCAGCACGTGTGACGGACCGCGGAAGAGAGCTACAGCGAGGTCCCAAGAGCTCGTGATGCAACTGATAAGTTGTATTATAAGAGAGCTAAAAGAAGTCAAAAGCTTTATCATGTGTGTCAGGAAAAGAGCTAGCTAGAAGGTGCCAGCGTAGCAACAGTGATATGGTGCCTCACACCTGACAGTGTGGGCCCCAACAGAACGATTTACTCAGATGTATCGCGACGTTATGCTTTTTATTCACGAGCATTGAAGGGGAGTTTCTTATATTCGATTAGACGTATCCGACCAGTTCCTTAGCTTGCAACTTTATATTGACGCGGTCTCGTTCCCCAGGGAAACTTCCAGGAACCGCATTCTGCAGAAGTGGAAGGACTTCCTAGTGTCCATGCCCATGATTTCAAGCAGATGTCCCTAGACAAGAAAATTAGTCATCGGCTCAGAGGTCTGGAAGATCCACTAAACGTAATTGCAACCTATTCAGAAGTCCAACTGCCTTTAGAGATTATCCGATACCGGGACGGCTATAGACTAATGCTGGTCTTAAGATTTCGTTTAGTATAATGGCAGGTCTTGGTCAAATCCGACGGGTAAATACATTTGATAGCAAGCCCTTTATCAGGTGGTTTTTAACCATTCTCGTTCTAATAAAACGTAACGGAGTCACGATGATCTGGCAATTGGTATATAACCAAAACGGAAACCATATGTCCTACCTGGACAACTCTTGGCGTATTTGAATTGGAAAAGACACGACATGTTCTTGGGTGGTGTGCAGAAGCTGCATGCTCCGCTGGTAAGCTGCCATGGGGAAATACAAGGCTCTTATGAGCTAACAGGTGCTGTACCATAGGATCCGCAGATGCCAATCACGCAATAAAGCCATCCCGACTCCCACCATCTCACGCTGGCTGTCTTCTTGAGAAAGTGCTCCCATGTAGTAGCTGGTCACTGGCGGTGTTCCATTCAGCACCGGACACGGACATACACCCGCTCACAAAACGCCAAAGCTCAAGTTGATCCATGAGAAAATCGTGGTGCTGTGGGACGAAGAAGACGAGCGAGGCTGGATAGTTGATGGGACGAGCGCTTTGCTACATATCGTACGTTCGTCTCTGGAGAAGGACAACCACGACTGATTCAGCTCAGAATGCCTTCTCCAGCCCAAATATATTCAAGAAGCCCCAGAGACGCACAAAGCTAACCCAGCTGTAAAACTTCTTCTTAATCGAGAGAACTTGCATCTCACAGTCATCCGGAGAAGGAATATTATCTACGCCTTGCGGATCGAGTGGACGACTTCTTCGATATACTGGAGGAAATTACAGACTACCAGGTGAGCGTGGATTGCCAAAGAGAAGCAAAGATGGAGCTTACAAAGGTGAAGCACCTTGAAGGTTGGGATTTCAACAACTTGGCCAGATAACGAGATGCAGCCTACCCTCGAGGTTTCGCAGAATCTTGTCCGAAATTAGTGCGGTGTAGTTGAAAGATCGCGATGCCGTTATTTTGGGCATAAAATAAGTTTCAAATGGTATTGGAACGATGTAGGTGATCCAGAGGTAGATGTCCTAGCGTCTTTCGAAGAGTCTGATTTCGAATACTACAACAGCGGAATCCGACCGTGCATACGTTCATCTATCCTACAAATAATCGACACTTGGCAAGCTTAATCTCTAGCAAATATCAAGGGCTATACTTTGTATGTAAAAAAACTAATCTCCGAAGACTACACAGTAGGTGTGGCATGTGCGTCGCAGAAAGAGCTTATAGCGGTGTGCTTGCTGTTTGATATCAAACACAAGTGTCCAGTAGTTTCCCCAGGAGACACTAATCACACGTCGTGGGCCGTCTTGGGCAACACGACATCGTAGCTGCTTGCCTGCCATCTGATCGATACGGCGCAAACTCTTCAGTCAGTGTTTCATACATGAAGAGGAGCTATGAGACCGTCGGGTTCTACCTTTTTAATTGGGCCTGGAGGCGGCGTGCCTTTTGGGCGAAATGACACTCGACTGTGACGATGCTTTGGCCAGCCATTAATGTCAAAGCAGCAGACAGCTAGTGTTTTCAGCTTGCGCTCAGCGATAAAGTAAGTCCTTAGTCCAGTCTTGGTCTGGTGAGCTGGGGAGTGGATTGCGTATTGACGAGGCATTTGCAACTACTTAAGCGTGTGGTGAATATTTGACAAAGGGCGTTGACGTACTGGGCACTGCGGAAACCAAACGTGGCAAGCGACTCATTTCCAACGTCGAGCCATTGCACATTGCTTCCATTGGTCCGGAAAAAGGGGCATGTCAACAGTAGAGTCATTGTGCCATCAGTAGTTGCGGGCCGGACCTAGTTGCCGAGTTTCGCTACGACACTAACCGCCCCGGGCAGAGACCCATGGCAAAAGCGTACAAAGCCGTCCTTGGGGCCAGACCTCCCGAGCCGTATACATGTCAATGAAGCGTGGTTCAACGGTTTTGAGCCGTCAAGGCTACGACACTTCGAGACTGCCAACGCGATAGTATCTGGAAGTTGTCGGAGGCTGATCCACTCCGCCGTGTGGATCTCCCGGAAAGTGGGCCTCCGGAGCCGACCTGCCGTGTCCACGACTCCGCCGACTTTCGCCATTTGCACAGTTTCGGATACCGTCATTGCCGCGATCGCCTGGCTTCTCATTCAACTTTAGATACGGCCAGTCAAGAGACTCATAGTCAGAATGACGTCATGGTGAATGCTGCTTGGTGCCGAGGTAAGTGGAACTTATGGGGCCGGGTTCTCGGCCGAAAGTCGAATTAACGACAAATCTTGCTAGTGCTAATCACGGACTAATGTCAAATATGGTGCTCCTCCCTTGAACCGTACGCCCTCTATTGTTCTTTTCGCCTTTTAACTGACTGTATTGATCAAAATACAAAGACTTGGTCCGTCATTTTCGACCTTGCCCCCGGCTGCTCAAAGCCCAACTTTACCAGCGATGATTTGCTGGCATTGACCATGCCCGGGGGGCCGCATAGCATTATCCTGGTATCGATGCTAGGCGCCGGCAACTTCTCCTGCATCAAGTCCTTTGTGACACGACCTTTTCCATAGCCCCAATCAGCAGGGGCTTGATCCAGAATATAGTAGACCCTGAAGTTCCCCGGGTATCGTCGTGCGAAACTGTCCAGTTGTTCGCGGAGGAGGATATCCTGTTCCGTTCGGTTCGCGTATATTAGACTGATCTGGGTTAGATCCCGGTCGTCTTCGCAGACGGCACGGATGATTTGGAACATGGGCGTAATGCCAGTCCCCCCAGCCACCATGCCAATCTTCTCACAGAGACCGCGCTGATACCGCATGGCGCCGTTGGGACCTCTGAAGAGGACCCTATCGCCGGCTTTGAGCTTGCTCAGGAAGCCGCTTGTCAACTTGCCGTCGTGGTAGACTTTGATGGCAAGCTCGAGCACGCCGCGATCCGAGTTGTTGGACACGGGCGTGTAGGATCGTGAAACGCTCTCGCCTCCGACATCAGCCTTGATTGCGACGTGCTGGCCAATCGGCAGGCCGGCAACGGCATCGGCAGTGGGAAGAGCGAAAGTGAACTTGTAGACATTGGGAGCCACCAAAGTCTTGGACTGTAGAGGGAGGGGGCAGTATTTGGAAGGATCCAGCAGGCCGTGTTGCAAAAGCGCGTTTTCCCGGATGCGCTCTGGGGCTTTCATATGAGCCGGGTAGCTTGTAAACGACTTGTTGCCCCAAATAAGCTTCGCAAATCTCTGCGCGAGAATCGCAGTGCCGGCGGCAAAGATGCTGCCACCCATGAAGAGGCCTTTTATGAAGCCAACGCCACGCCGGTTTTCGGGCTTGCTGCGCAACCATAAAACGAGTGATTTAGGAAGAGGAGGCCGATGATGTCTACTCAGGTAGTAGACAGCAGCGATTGACAGTGAAAAAAGGCCTAGATTGGCCAACTTGGCCAACTGGCTTTTGGTGGATGGTGTTTGCGCCGGACTCGGTGGTTGGCTAATCATCGGCCTCGGCCTCGGCTTCAATCTCTTTTTGTCCTGATGACCTTGGAGGTTTCCAACTAGGCATGGCTTCATGATATCCCAGGCATCTTCCGAATGCCCGGCATTGTCAAACTCGTGGGTGGCATCTGTGCCTGCTGCCTCTACCAGAACGTCGGCGCCGCCAGGGTGGTCTTGCGAATATCTTGTTACGTCGTACACTAGAGCCAAGCGTTAGAAGTGTCTTGGCAACTATGAAGCTTCCATGGCCCTTTTTTCTTTTCAAACCTAACCTTTTCCGTGGACAATAATCCAGCAATCTCCCGGCTTGTTGTGTTCTGCAACTGTTGCGGCTTCAATCTCCATGGTGTACGAGGGAGAGATGTTTTTCGCGCGACTGACAAGACAATGTATCTGGCCAAGAGACCCGTTATCGTTACCTGACAAAACGTCGAGGTGGAGCTTATATGTCAAGGCGGTAATGCATCTTGTTCAACAATGGCAAGAATACCGAGGCTACGACGGCGGGTATTAATGTCCATGGCGTCGGCTGATGCTGCGACTGATGGAGACCGAGGCAGTTTATTGCATCCCTGCAGGTCAAAGTTGGTCGGCCGGACTCACCGAGCCCTGCGGCTGCGGCCGACGTCGTATTCTTGATGTCAGCCAGTACGTGACATCCACATTGACTGCAGATGTAGGTTGACTACTTCCTGGGCAAAGTCAGCGGGCAGGGGGCCGACTTTTCTCGAGATGGCGGCTGCAGGGACGGACCGGAGAGGCAAGCCACCGGTATTCGGCCATGGTGCTTTTTCTCCTGTCCTCAGAGTTAATATATTAGGAAGCTAGGAATAGAGATGTTCATGGTTGGACGCGGCAGAGCCCTGGTTTGGCCCACCTGGAAGTGCCGTTTGCGGATCCAGCTTCCATTCTCCATGGAGGTCCGTCGACGGATTGAGCTTTTTGGGTCTTAAGTGGCGGTACTAAGAGAACAGGAGTAGCCGGTGGCCCAGTGATAGGGTTCTCGTGATGAGTTGGGATGTGAAACGGGGGCTCTGCATGGGAGTCAGCAAGAATGGATCAGCCTCGGTAGTGCCGCCATGACGCGCTGTTGTTGCATTTTATTCACAGTTGTCGCTTGTTCGGTGCGCCAAAGATCGAGCGGAACTGGACTATATATGTGTGATTTGCATGGATGCATGGATGCATGGTTGGATACATGTAAGACCAAAACCCAGTTGGCCCAATTTCTTGTACGGATATCGAGTACTGATTTCAAGCCATCCATTTCCAAAACCGTTGCAAGAGACGATGAGTTCAAAACAATTTTACCTTCTCGGTGAAAGCGCATCGTCTGCCATCGATATTGACTTGGCAGAGGTGGCAGATGTTGAAGACCTCCAGCACCTCGTTGCTGCGCACTTCAACATAGTTGACCACAAAGGTGAGAAGTGAAAAGAAAACACAGGATTCCAAACTCTTTCTGACTCGTCTTCAGGCGTGGGATTTGTCTCCAATCATCAGAGACTAACCGCAGTCTCGGACGTCAAAGATGCAGATAGCCCAATTGTCATCACCATCGACGGGCAGGGCGTCCGGGAAGTACCTGGCCCAGCAGGACTTCCGTACTTTGGCAACTACTTTGAGGTGTATCCAGACCACCTGGGAAACCACGAGCGTCTTTTCCAAAAATACGGTCCCTTGATTGTAACCAACAATATGGGCAGCAGGGTCTACCAAACAAACGACCCCAAGCTGTCGCAAATCTTCTTCCAAGAAAGCGACTTCTTTAGCAAGCGCATTATCCCCGGACATCCTCTACATCCTATCAAATCAGCCGAAGCAGGTGTCTTTTTGTCGGATACAGACACGGAGCAGTGGCGGCTTGCGCACAAGTTTCTGCCTCCAGCCCTTGGGCCCAAAGCAGTGCGCCACTATGCACCTACAATGCAAAGGACTGTTGAACAGGCGTTCAGAGTCTTTGATGAGCTTGACGAGAACGGTGAAGCTTGGAACGTATACCAGTATATGCTTAAACTTGGTTCCCAGGCAGTAGGGAAACTTATTCTCGGCATGGACTTCCAGCATTTCACCGAGGTGGATGCCCCGTTGCACGAAATGGTGCACAAAATTGCCCTTAATCTCGAACTGAATAAACGTATTTCGAGCATGGGCTCGTGGTATGCCCATATGCCGTTTGGCGATCCCAAACGACTGCGCCAAACTATGGGTAGGATAGAGGAGATGATTATGGATTCCATCGCCAAGGCGTCCAAAGGTCAAGATGATTTGGAACTTCAAGATGCTGCTCTTCAAGCAGAAAATGTTGTTGGTATGCAAGCAGACATGAGCTGTTGAATTCTCGTTTCATCAAGGCTTCGGATTAACACATCATGGCAGATTACTTCTTGAGAGCAGCAGACAACAATGGCAAAAAGCTGCCGCCCGCTCAGTTTGTGTCGGCACTTTTAGTTGCGACGGGGGCTGGCTTCACGACCACATCCTCGCTACTTTCCTGGTTAATGTATAGTTTGGTGCAGTATCCAGGAAACCAGGAGCGTTTACTGCAGGAGTTGGTTGACAACGGCTGGGACCACGACACCCAAGTGACCGCCGACCTTACAAACAAGCTCACCTTCCTGGACAAGTTCGTCAAGGAAACGCAAAGACGCCACAACCCCTCGTATCAACCTGGTCGTACGTCCAAGGTCGACATGGTCCTGCCTGGTGGCTATAAGCTCCCCAAGGACTCCGTTGTGATACCCGCGTTGCACCACATCCACAGCAATGACAGAGTCTGGGATAACCCGACTAGATTCGACCCTGATCGCTGGGATACTGAGAAAGTCAAGAACCGACCTGCGGGCTCGTACATTCCATTTGCCGCTGGCCCTCGCATGTGCGTTGGCTTCAGCTTTGCCCTGCAAGAAATCAAAGTCTTCTTGCCGAAGTTAGTCTATCGCTACAAATTTTCTCTGGCTCAGGATGGTCCTGTTGAGTACGACCCGTACTTTCAGCTGATTCGGCCGAATAATCTATACATCAGGGCCGAGCGTCGCGTGAAGTGGCCACCAAAATCAGAATGAGACAGTAGATGGACCGGGTAAAAACATGTAGTAATATGGGTGTTTTTTTTCTTTTACATGAAACTATTAATCCGGAATGGACAATCGTAATACTACGATGAGTTTCCTGACCTCCATTTCGCCGGGGCGTTTTATCTAGAGGTTCAAATTAGGTTACAAGGTTCAAACTAGGCTGTAAGGTTCAAATTAGAAGTTAGCTTGAAAATCCACTAGCTATGACCTTACTATGTAATCGAAAAGAGGCATCTTCGAGGTTCAATTATAAAGCATGTCTTTTGATGGATGGATCCAATCAAGGACCAAGTCCACATTTATTGCGATCCATAGCTGCTAAATCGTGAGAGCCAGGAAATCCGATAGAGTAGTGCAGTTAATCGCACGTTGCATGGTATCATGGGGCCCTGGTTCCTCTCAAGGCCCAGATAGCTGAATAACTCTATTTATACGAGAAGTCGGTGAGCCTTTGGGAGCTAGTAACTGTGGCAAGCTTTCTACGATGCAAAGAAAGGAACATTAGCCCTGCCTTGGATTTTGCTAGGGGTGTTATCGCGATGTCGTTCAACGGTTATCTTGGTAAGAATCCTTACTCAGTAGAGAATGTCTATTTCAAATACCACGGGTCGATAATCTCCATTGCAGTCGCAGTTACGTAGCATATGATTGACCGTGGCAAAGTATAGCGGCACTTACAACCAGTTGAGCCGTGGCGTAGGTTTATAGCCTCTAGTTACTCTTGAACTCCAATAGATAGAGTCATCAACGTAGGCGTCATGTACCCCGCACAGGCTACCTCACCTTCAGCAAGCAATAACACAGATCCTTAAACAATTCTTCATCTCCTGCAGTGATATGAGTTTCTGAGTAAGTCTATCACAACAATTTACATGTATTCTGTATTGATCTGTTAACAGGGCTTAGTGACAGAGAAAGTCGAGCTGAGAATTGTGACGACAACTACAACTCCTGATTCACAAACGAGCCTCAGAGATGAGAAATTTGGTACAGTCCATCTCGCAAGACCCCGTAGCAACGATAATAGCCTTCCTTCTCCATCAACAGTAGCTGAAGATACACCTGATTGCTATGGAAGTGTCAAGCAGAGTTTGATCGAGGAAATGAACCATGAGAACCATGGAACATATCATGATATATTGGCAGCCCGCACGCTAATCCAGGAGAAGCTGTCAGAGGCAAAAAGACAATTTTAGTCTTGGCACAGATCTCAGCTTTACCAAAAAAAAAAAAAAAAAAAAAAAAAAACTTCTTGTACAGGACGCTGACAGACTGATAACGAAGCGGTCCTTGTGAGGAAGTGAATGCCTGGATGATGCTTGTATAATATCAGGAGCATTCGGCTCGTACAGCGTAGCAGTTGCGACTAAAAGTAGACTCGCAATGGATTAATTTCACACGACACGTTTCATTCGTACCTACGTGAGCTGCCTTGATATTCCGAGAGGATTTGCAGCCGTCAGCTTGGACTGCTGGCCTCATCGCCGAGAAACTGGGAGAGACACGACGCGGCAACCAAGAATAGCTGGACCGTACCACTTTGGCAAATCTGTTGTCATGACCATCGCGCTAACATACTAGGTAGAAATAAAAAGCTTTATAATACTAAGAAACTAACAGACAATGCTTTCCTACCTCGAATTGCCATAGCGTGGAACAAACTACAATGCGACAGTACTTGCAGCCTGTTTATTACGCCACCCTTGCGTCACGTTTGCAAGAAACAAACTAGGTGAGGCGTGGTGTTGATAGAAGCTAGAGCATTGCCAAAACTTACATTAAAAATTTAATGTTTGTGTGCCAAAGTTACACAAAGTACATTATGCTGTACAATGTTATAAATATTATACTTGTAATATAATGTAATACTGCCTGCCAGGTAGCAGCACAACGATTGTTGTTGCTTTGAATGATTGGCTTGACCCTGACAGAAACGCAGGTAATAGAATCTATTCGGAAACCCGGGAAGAATATATAGACAACAATAGAGTCATCTTTGCGACTTTAAACGGCCTTCTGAATCCGGTTTTCCTCGCTTCGCCCCCGAGCATTTGAGCTTTGAGATGACTTATCTGAAGACTTCGCTCGCCAAACTGATCCAAGACGTGGTGTGTAATCAATGTCCTTAAGCAGTTCCTGCATGTTTCTTTCCCTTCTAGTGTGAACGAATTATCTGTCTTCCGCACCGGTCTCGACTCATGTTGTCGATACCGTGTAGCTTACAATAGGCATTGATATAACCTTCAAGTCACCCTCACTTGGACGAACATGTATTTATTTTGCCTCCTGGATTGGCTAATGCCGAACCAGTCATATCCACCATGCACAACTAGGCCGAATAATACACGCCGTAGCGGCTAGCATTTTGCGTCATGTAATGCTCAAATTCCTCAAGTGATGAGTTGGGAGGCATCACATACTGTGCTTCTTGAGCAACTGCTCGAGCCAACTCAGTTTGGTACCTTAGAGGAAAGCCAAAGTCTTTCGGGAACGACTTCTCGTCTGTCCCCAGCAACAGATTTGCGTGCCTCCCAGACTCCTTTGCTGCATCCTGTGACGCAAAGTGATTTTTCAGTAGCCCCTTCCATTCATCGATTCCCGCAAACCCAATCGAATCCAACCCAGAGCAAAACAAGAATATGAAGCCATCTTTAAACCCCTTCTTCATCCCGCGACACATTTCCAGATATTTCTGCAGCCGTTCTAGTGACGGCCTAACAGGGAATACCGTCCAAAACGGCGTCAGATTGTACCTCATTGACAACCATAGCTCCACGAGAACGAAGCTTTCAACCAGGATTGAAACAGCCGGGCGACGCAGTTGCCCCTGGCGCTGGCGATACGCATCAGCAACGAGGGGACTAACATCCTCAGGATGGTTATAGTCCAGATAGTAATCTTAAAACCATGTTCCTTTGCAAACGCGACGACATCATCCGTAAAACACTCTGAATAGCCCCATTCTGCTTCAGGGACTTCGCAGTTGGGCGGGGGCGCATTCCAGTCCGTCTTATGCTGCTTTTACAGTCCTGATTCGCCCGTTGCCGTGAATGGGGACTTCTGCACTTTAATGAATTCGTTTACTGCAGTTGAGCCTTGTATATACTCTTTTGGCTCTATTCCTCCAACTGTTCCGCTCTGGAAGTAATGGCGATCAGCAACTTTAGTCGACGGCCATTTTAATCCACAGCGAACGAGTATAATGGTCCCGTTCGCCTCCAACGACTCCAAAAGAAACCTCCTATAAGCTTTGGTCAACTTTAAAAATTTGAATCTGAAGTAGGCCATGCGGTGAATAATCAACTGGTCCTGATTCGGGTCCGCCATATGGTACAATTCAATGTCCCGGTTGGTCTCTAGCAAAGTCTGCCCTGCGGACTTTCCCCAATCCATCTCCGCCGTCATGTCCAACTGCCCGCGTTTCATGGCCTCATCTTTTGGTCGCTTGACGGGCATGAGAAGTGTCTGGGGCAGCGCCAAGGAATACCCATTGCTGCGTATACATGCGTCAACGCGCCGTTGGTGCTTCCGATAGCCACGGCAGGGTACTTCCGTTGTGGCTGAAAGTGTGCAACAATTGATTGGGTTGTTTTTTCTGCGTCGAATGTTGATCCTATGTCATCCGTGGCCTCACTAGCACCGACAGCGGCGTACACCGTGCCACGTAAATAAGGTGGTAGCCAGTTGATGAGAGGCATGACTGCGGCCAAGGGCGTCGGGACTCCTAATTGCGGAAAGTCTCTGAAGTTCAAGTGCCGCCCAATTGCACGAAGCATAGATGACGCCGAGACGAAGTCAGCGATCCCCTGCAGCTTGACGTATACGCGGTCCATATGGTCCGAACCATCCATGGAGAGTATCCCTTGGTATCTGTAGAGCGCTATTGACTCTACCAAGGTAAGTCCCATGACGAGCAGCCATCCGTCCAGAAACCCCTGCCGCATAGTCAGAAAGGCTGAGAGTGCCAGCACCAGTTGCCCCCAAAGCAACAGGGATTTTTGCTTTGCCGCTGCTTCCCTTGTCTTCTTCACTTCCTCCACCTGCCTCAAGATGTCCTCCCCCGCGTGTTTGAAGCTGTTATCGTCCTGAATCAGCAGATGGCGCAGCACGATTCTGGACATGCTCTCGGTTGCCGAGTAATTTGCCGTGTGGCCAGCTTCCCTTAGGACATAGTGCACCGCATTGGGCATTTTCTCTGCCACTTCGGCTACCCAGCTGCACGGAGCGACAGGATCCAGTTCACAACTCAACAGCAGGGTCGGGCTTTTTAGATGTTGTAGTACATCCAAGCTGCGGTACTCAGTTGTCTCCTTGAATAGCGCAAATGCCCTTCGCATTCCAGCCTGCCAATAATCTTGAAGCATAATCGCAGTCATTGAAAGCGGTTCGTTCCTACTATCCGCGGCGAGCGCAAGCAAAGTCCTGAGCATGGTTCGGCGGGTTTTGTCCATAGGCAGACCCTGCAGCACAAGCCGATCGACCCTCTCTGGCCAGCGAGAAGTGAAGTCGGCGAGGATCTGGCAGCCCAACGAATTGGAGACAAAATGTGCCTTTCGTATGCCTGCAGTGTCCATCCAGTCATGCAATCCCTGCGCTAGCTGGCGTACAGAGACCTCATGACCCTTCCGTATTGATTTGGATGAGCGCCCGAACCCAGGCAAGTCGGGTATCATGACGCGAAACCATGGCGCAAGATGTCTTCCAAGATGATGGAGCCTGGAGGTACCTGCTGGCGACCACCATTCCATGGACGAGGACCACAGGCGGTCGCTCGTAGTACGCTTCCGACTGTAGGAGTTTTTCTCGTTTGAAAGGGTCGCTGCTGTCGGATAAAGCATCCTGCCCAGGAAACGGCGGCGTGGGCGAAGTTAAAGCGTGCAACTCAGACTCATAACCTGGAACCTGATAAAAGGTTGCTTGCAGGTGTATGTTTGGATTGAAGTCGATTTCCATCGACATCTTGGCCGAGATAGTAATGGAAGAAACGGGGTGGTGCGATAATGGCAGCTGCCAAAGACTCTGGGGACTGTTGGGGGAGTAGTAATGCGAGGTCTTATCTAGCGAGCGGAAACGGTCGTCACTGAAAGGTCAAGGTCATCTGGACCCATAGGCGGTCATTGACCTTGTAGGTTACACGGGATAATGACATGGATGGATACGATACTTTGCCGGATCCGTTACAGGACATTTGATGTCAAGAGGACACGTCAAGATGCCGGCTGATGTCACTGTGAGGTCAGGACTCAGGAAGGCGCCACCCATAAACCTCCAGACAGACACCTGGCTGGTCGGACCGACGACATTGTCATCAACTTCAAATTGAGCAAAGCATCGCTCCGCCCACGATTCGTACCATGGAATCCGGGAAGCTAACTGACGGCTCGACGCCAAACAAGCTTGATGTGTCTGAAAACTCGGTATGCTCCTCTATACCTGAGGCCCCAGTGACTTTGGAGCGTCGACCATTCTTGCAGCCTGAAGGTCATATCCGGCTACCTCATACCGGTAGGGAAATAAACAGTCATTCGAAACCAAACGCCAGAGTACAGCTAACAAGCAAGTACATGTAGGAACTCCAAGGGCGAATCGTGCTGCTACTGTCGGGTGTCCAAGAGGAACGACGGAGAATAACTGGGCAGAGCGTCACCGGCATCAAACTGTAAAGCACTTGAATTCCTTCCTCGATGCACGTCTATAACTGACACATTGGTCCATCAGGTCCTTCAACAGCACTGCGACTTCTTCGATGAGGACCAAGACGGCATCATTTGGCCTCGTGACACATTTACCGGATTTTATGCTCTCGGATTCAATGTAGCCTTGTGTCTTCTGGCAGTCCTCGTTATTCACGGCAACTTCTCTTATCCTACTGTCTCAGGAATACTGCCTGATCCCTTTTTCAGAATCTACCTTGAGAATATCCACAAGGACAAGCACGGCAGCGATAGTGGAACTTACGACACCGAGGGTCGCTTTGTGCCGCAGAAGTTCGAGGATATGTTCGCCAAGTACAGCAATGGACAAGATTTCATGACCATCTCCAGCATTATCCACTTACTCAATGGGCAGAGACTCATTGCTGACCCTGTAGGCTTGGGCGGAGCTTTTTTCGAGTGTAAGTTCCAAACGCTATAGTATGAGCTGTACTCCATGGTTTGCGCTAAACACGAATAGGGCTGGCAACTTACATCATGCTATGGCCTGAAGACGGAAAATTAAAGAAAGAAGATGTTCGACGCGTTTATGATGGGAGCATATTTCCTATATTAGCAAACCGACGAGCCCGCTACCAGCGTTAACTCGTCGCATACTGTCGATGCCAATGAGTTAGTACGGTAAAATCATCATGGTAACAGAAAACCGCGGAAGATTGGACTCGTGGCTGTGTAATCCGTAGAGCAACGGGTATCCTTCGTTGTATAACGCCCATGCAGGGCAGGGCAGGAGCAGGGATTGCTTGGTTACATGCGGGGTAACGTGCCGCTTGTGGCCTCTCAGGGCATATTACGCCCTGTACCTCCCAATTACCTTGAAAGGCAATTTTCCTCAACTTCGGATCAGTGAGCTTAGCGTCGTGGTGTAGTTAAATATATGATGTTTCCCACAAATATGTTCCACCGATTAAATTCAGGAAGTGCCGGGAGGCTCCTCCTTCACTACATAGCAAAGGACACAGTCACTATTCGGCCTCTGACATGTGGACAAAGTGACAAATTCTTCCGCCCCACCATCGATCCCCGGTGTCAGCAGCACGAGTGCCACATCCACCCCTACAATTAAGGTATACTGGGCTAACCTCCGGTACCCAAGAAAACACCAGCTTTCCCCATTTCCCACCGACATTACAGAGCGACCGGCGAAGCTCATGAAATCTGCTCAATCTCCCGACTACACGCCCGCAGGACTCCAAAGATGGTAACGAACCGAGAACTGAATGACCGTCGAGAGCCTGGCTGCTCGGTTGTCCTTGCTGACAAGAAATATTTCCATGTGGGTGACTGGTTCATGAAGCGGACCCTTCGGCAGCACGAGTGGCAATCAGTCTCCGATAAGATTGTTATAGTTCCGCCAACAACGTATCCCCAGCGATGGAAAACCGATGCTGCAATTTTGCGATTCCTTCGAAAAGAGACAAATATCCCGCTGCCACCGGCAGAATGCACGTTTAAAGACGATGGGGCGTTTTATTTCCAATCACAATTTGTAGACGGCGTTAGTATGAAGGAGCTGGCGCAAGAAGAGAAGGAGGTAGTGACTAAGGAGCTAGAACGGCATGTAGCAACGTTAAAAGCCCTTCGATCAGATATTCCAGGTGTACCTGGCGAATCACTTTTATGTCCCCCTCAACGGGTCACTAACAATCAATGGAAGGTTAACAGCTGCTGGCGACCGATGAGGAAGAAAGGAGAATACGTGTTTTGCCACAATGATCTCGGGCAACATAACGTGATAGTGGATCCTGAGACACTTAAGATACAAGCCATCATTGATTGGAAATTCGGCGGTTTCTGGCCTGCGTGGTTTGAGAGGCCGTTCTGGAAGCGCCCTGGTCCAAGTGTGGCTGTTGAAGGGGAGGAGGACGATGTGCAACGATGCCGTGACTGGCTCATGAGTCACTGCGACGAAGTGGAAATTCCCATTGGTGGTAAAGAGCCAAGATCAGGTAAAGGCTGTCCATGATCTGGCACATGGGGATTGGATACGAGTGTATTGGAAGCTTATGTAAACGCTTTCGACAATTTTGACTGTGGACGATGATGGAAGTGTCGCGAAGCTGAAAGTCATTAGCACGCTCGAGAATTTAGGGGCAGGAAATGTGTTTTTGGAACATTCTCAACCGTCAAACTATTGCTATGTCAAACCTCCAAGATAGCGATATAGAGTTGGTTTGGGCTCCCTGTAGGTGTCCAAAGTTCATCCTCTCGTTCTTATCCAACCTCACACTGCCGCAAAGTGCTGTCCCTAGGAGGCTCCTCTATGCCTCCAAATCCATTGATCCATTAATGGCGCGCACACATTCATAGCAGAACGTCGAAAATATATTCCAGGTGAGCCATTATTGACGGCGAGGCTTGGGGAGCCGTTCTCTGCGCGCTAAATAATTGGCCGCACCCACCAGGCAGCCTCATCTTGAACCCGATCCAGCCGACTCAAGACGGCAAATTGGTGCGAGAATCAAGACGGCTGCTCACATTTTATTCTGGGCGAGGGGCAATATTTATCGGGGAAAATTGAGAATATTATTGAAAAGATGATTACAGGGATGGGGGCCCGTTAAGGGAAGGAAATGCTACTTTACGGCAACAGGCGGGTGGAATGATAGTGTTGTGCGGTTCGTCTATGTCAATGAGGAAGCTGGCTGGGTGTCGGATAAAACTGCCTCTGTTGATTGAAACACGCAAGCGCGTTTTGCCACCAGGTGGCAAGTGGCAACAGTAGTTGTCATACTGCTGCCCGGAGGCAGCAGTATTCCGAAAGTATTAAATATCTTGAGTTTCTAGAGTTTAGAAGGGGCAAGGAACAAGAATAATGATTTTATGAAGAAGCTTAGTTAACATGAGTTTCATAGCGTGACAGCTGGGGTTGAGTTGTGCCACCAAACCAGGTTTTGAGAATTGTACAAACTTGACTTATATATTTTCAGTAAATAATGTAAGAAAGGAACTGTAATATTCTTGAAATGTTTTTTTATCCATCTGGTCTCGGGAAAATTGAACTGCCTATGCAAAGCCTAGACGAGAACGTAATCTTCACATGTTGCTCTTGGCACGTTTTGCCGGTAGTAGCGGCCGATAATCTCGTACAGGCTTTGCGTAAAGGCATCAAGGATGAGGCCAGCCACCGAGTGCTGAATACATGATGGCTGAGTATACCCGACGTGTTCGGAAGGGCCACTGCCTAAAACAGTCCATCGTGAAGCTCAATGAAGATGGTGTCCCCGGGAGAGTTTTCCCGAAGAGCGTGCGTAGTGGAACTCTCCAATGGCGTCTGACGGGAAACTGTGGTCGATTTGAGATGGGAGAGGTCCGCATGATGAAGCCAAGTGTCACGGTCTTGACCGCCAACATCGGCGGCAGTTGATGCCACTTTGTGAATTGCTCAGGGTGCGTTCAAATATCGAAATAAGAGTCACGGGGTGACAGAGAGCGACAGATCCCTTGGACCGGCTTTCCTCCATTTCTTCCCGCTTTTGACTTGTTCGCTCCTATGATTCATCCAGAATGCCCACAAAGTGAAAGACATCAGGTACATCTGCGGCCTCGGGCTTGCGAATGTGATTTGAGGTGATGTCCAAATCAGTCCTAATGGTCAGATCAAGTATTTGTCTTTAATGAATTGAATGACAGGGTCGTATCCTGACTCTTCATCTCGCAATGGTATCTTCCGCTGGCAAGCCCTGCTTGGAGGATAAAGGCTGCAAAATAGCTGCAAGAATTAAAATTCAAGTATACATGGCCACGAATCGCGGCCTCTGGATCCGCTGGTCCGTCATCATCCCAGTCCGGGTGGAGAGGATAGAACTCGACGTATTTCAGCCCGTAGAGCAAGTCACTGTAACAATAGTCGAAATAATCCACGGAATATAACTTGAACATCTAGCCAGTAATGGGTTTTAGCCTAGGGCAGTCTCCCTTTTCCTGGGCTTCCAGCATAGCCTCATAGGCTCTGTAGACTATCCGTTCGTTACGACCCTCAAGCGCCCGGAAGAAATTCTGCCCCCCTCCCAGGGCGGTTTCGTTCGCTCTGGGCCTCTAGCATAGCCTCATAGACTGGGTAGACTATTGGGTCTTCCGGCATGAATGCTCTTCATCACGTAAGCGTGTCTTCCGGTCTATGCGTTGGCGCTTCAACTCATAGTAGTGATCGGCATCTGATCCTGTATGCGAATGTACTGATTCCTCGTCATCGTCCCAGAGGTCGCATTCGCATTCGTCCTCAGTGTCGCATTCGCATTCATCCTGACCGTGACATTCGCATTTATCCTCACCGTCACATTCGCATGCAACGTCTGAGCCGTCAAATTCGCTGTCGCCTTCACCCTCGCCTAGTTCTGAGATGTCCTCGTCAAAGTCAGCTCCTTCAATCTCACGGTCCTCTGATGTCGATAGTACCAGGCTGGGTATTCCATGTATTTCATTGCGACATGGTAATCACGATGTCGAGATGATTTAGGCTGTTTTCGTCCTATTGTTGGCTTTGGGGTTTCCCCGATGGGTGGAGAGATGAAATGGCTGCCAAGTTACGCCTGGCAGCAGAAATTGACAACGGTTGGAACCCTGCATATGGAGGACCAGTGTCCGTGAGAAACAAGGACCTGATTGTGGCTGATTGAGGTCTTGCGGGTTGACCGCCACAAATCGTCGGAGGATTGTCTGCGAATTATGGAGTATTTTTGGTCGCCCAGCCTTAATTGATATTTCCGTTTGTTCCTGGGATGTCCGTCGTACTTCCCAAAATACCATCTCGCGTTGATACTTTAATCCTTGGATTCATTATGCATTGTGCCTCGCGAGACTCGCTGGGAACTCTCCGTGTAACTAGTGTAGGATTTCTGTCTTCTTATGGAATGGTGCTAGTATCTCCTCTACGGACGGACTCTAAGCCGCCATGTTATTCTAAGGGTCGAGATGCTTTTCTCGCAATGTTCACACCCGAGGATGATAGCTTTGGCGTATTCATCATACATGCTTATGCAAGTACGAGAGAGACTTTTCAGCCATCTATCTATGCTGTAAGTCTGCTTATCCCGTAGACTGTACCTGCAAACATCTTCCCTTCCCTAAATCTTTCAGGAACAGTTTAATACACAGCATAATACCGCCAGCGAAATGTACTTTAAGCATATAATTATAGCTTCCTAGCTAAAAAATCAAGCTTCGGCCCACATCCAACACTGTGCCGAAAATGGAGTGGCGGCGCTACTGTTTGCTGATGAGGGGGAAAGCGGCGCTGCTTAGAAACTAGGCGGTTCGAAAACCAGGGCCAAATTCACATTCTTGTTTACATGACTGTCAATCGCCATTCCTGGCCCTCGTGACACTTCGCAATACGTCGGGACGCGGAAAATCACGCACGCCTTGACTCTTGTGTGCGCCGTGTCGATGAGTGTCGCGAATTGGCACGCAAAGTATATCGCAGCATTGGCGGGCAGAAACACACCAAGATGGTCTAACCAAAGCAGACGTCCATGTTACGCCGTAATTGCTCCACAGCGACCTTTCTGGGGGCGACGGGAGTGGCAGATGTTTGCAACATGCTCTTCTACATACCGAACTCGAATGAGCTGTATCTGCTCCCCCGGAAGTTGTTTTCCTGGGGTTAGAACTCAAGGTCGAGCTCAAATTCTTGCCTGCTTGTCCTTATCAGTATCTAAACGCGAATCTACCCGGAGTGTGGACCAGCGTCAAAAGCATCTTATCCTGCGTTGCCATGACTGGATATGTTGGACTAAAATATCGCGCACGTTTATCGACGGGCCACTCACCGCCATGACACTTGTATTCTGTCGATATGCTTTTTGGCGGCCTCTCTCCCACTTGTATGCTTTGAACACGTACGGAGCAGGAGGCGGAGAGAAGTAGTTGGCCGCTGACTAAGGCTGAGACAGACCCTAAGCCCGTCATCGAAGAATGACAATGATGGCCAGTTTACTCCGTAGTCTGGAACGGTTTGAGCTGCGCACTAAGGGGTCCACGGCCGAGCTTGCGAATGGCCAATCAAGACAGCCATCGTGGTGAGATGCGTCTCCTAGCGGACCTCGGCACGCGTGTAAAAACTCAACGTGCAAAGTGCGTCGATGATGATAAGGGGAGGAGGGTTTGAAGAGAGCCACTGGAAGTGCCAGGAAAAAAAAGTGGCTACAATTGAGATACGGGCTGTTGCTTGTGACACTGGGCGGCTCGAAAAAAAAAAAATCTCACTCGTCCTGGAGTGCAGAAGATGTGACGCTGGGAATACTCGGGAGTAGTCGTCAGACAATGGACTCAGGAGGCTGCAGACATCTGGCACAGCCATGACCTTACAAGTCAGTACGTAAAACCCAAGAGGCTCCGTGGCTGCTTAAGTGGGCCCTGCATGTGGCACCTTGGGCCAAGAAGCACCGTGCTTGGAGATTTTTGAGACTGAGGCCAACAGCCCTGTTCAGACTGGTTTATTAGCTGGACTGGCTGGAAAGTTTGGCGGCAGCAGCCGTCATCATCAGCTTTGGCTCGGGTGCCTTTGACAATTCAATCCTAAACCCACTTGTAAATTGCCTCCGACCACCACGCCCTCTCCTCTCCTTATCGCACTTTGGCTTCTTGGCTTCTCTCCCTTCTCATCCGCTCCTTCCTGCCGACTACCGGTGCCGTTTTTCGTCCTCAAGTCGGAATTTTCAATCATCATTTCCAAATTGTATCACCTTTTTCTTCGTCTCCCTTCTTTGGTGGAAGCTCGACTTTTTTCTTTGTCGTCCTGCCTGCGTCGTCACCCCCAGGACCCTGTCGGCCCCTTCGGCCGCGCATCTCCAGCTCTCCCGGTCGACCTCGAAACGACAATAAAACCCTGCCACGCGGACGCCATTGCCGTCGCATCATATCAGTTGCCGTCGTACGGTATTCTCGACGTTCCTATTGACGACCCTAGCAAAGCATTCTCTTTCTTTTGCAATTCGCAACAATTGCACCGCAAAAATGTCTACCCGTCAGACCCGAAGGAAGTCTGCCAAGCTGCGCGAAGCTGCTGCAGCTGCAGCCTCAGCCGACGACGATCAGCAGCCCATCACTATGAATGGCAATGGCTCTGCTCACCACACCCCGGAAGCCACGGATATCGAGCAAGATGAGAATATCTTTCTGTTCTGGCCCAATATTATCGGTGCGCAGCTCCATCATGTCTTGTTCTTGCATTCTTGGGCGATTGCTAACACTCGCGCATCTCTAGGCTACATCCGTATCGTCCTCGCCATCGCCTCCCTATACTACATGCCCGTCCATCCGCGAACGTGCTCGGTCCTCTATAGCATCTCCTGCCTGTTGGACGCCTTTGATGGCTATGCCGCCCGCATTTTCGAACAGTCTACTCGCTTTGGTGCCGTCCTTGACATGGTTACTGATCGCTGCACAACCTCATGCCTGCTCGTCTTTCTGTCTTCTGCCTTCCCTCGATGGGCTATTCTGTTTCAGGGCCTGATTGCCCTCGACTTTTCTAGCCATTACATGCACATGTATGCCACGCTCGTCGTTGGCGGCTCCGACTCGAGCCACAAGAACATTGACAAGAGTCAGAACTGGCTCCTTAACTTGTACTACACCAACAAGGTAGGCAACAAGAATGCCGTGGACCGTCATATTGAGAGCGTGAGCTAAGAATATCTTCTGCAGAATGTCTTGTTTACTCTGTGCGCTCTCAATGAGCTCTTCTTCATCGGTCTCTACCTCTTGGCCTTTTCGTCTCCTTGGCTGTCTCCTCACCTGATCAAGAGCGTCGAAGAAACCAGTGGTGGTTTCGTCAACCCCGGCGCTCCAGTTAACACCTCGCTGCTCCGACAGATGTTCCCCGACCCCTTTAGTGCCTCTGCGCTAGAAATTGCCCGCGCCAACAAGATGGACTCTCTTATTCCTTGGGCTATTGCTGGTATCAGCTTGCCTTTCATGGTTGTTAAGCAGGCTATCAACGGAGTCCAGTTATACAACGCAAGCAAGTGGCTTGCCGATGTTGATATTAAAATGCGCAAGGAGAAGGGTCTTCCGCGCAAGAATAAGGCCAAACGTGTATAGTTTGGCTGCAGACGCGACGGTTTTGACCCGGTGCATGCGCCCACGACGACTGAGAATTCTACGACACAGATGAGCGGTGTGCGAACCTCGTTTGGTCTTGGCGGGCTGGTATGTGATTGGTCTAGGCTCCATAGACATGGAGGCACTCGGGGACATCTACACTTTTCTTCGTTGTTGGCGCAGAGATGCTTGTTTTGAAGGCAGGAATCGCGCACAACACTTGACTTTCGCTGCGGTGGCACGACAGAGCGCGCCCCACTAACCTTTTAACTGCATGAATAGGCGTCTGGAAATTTGGAGGGGTTGATGGATTGCGTATAATGCAATGGCAAATGCATACTCCACGGCTTTGGGTGGGTTTAGTCTAGGCACAAGGCAATATGCTCCGAGAGTCCCTATAAGGCAGATATTTTCTATCTTTACGTCGGATCTATTTCTTGGGCGGATCAATATCGGGTTTGGTACGGAAAACTATGGTTATTGGTCCTATTTATCTTAATTACAGGGAGAGTCTTTTGCTATTCTTCGCTTCTTCACAAGGGGGATAGGCTTGGTTTTATGTATTTCTTTTGGGGCCCTTGGCTCGCTTTAGCCTTTTTCTTTTCGATGGAAAGTAGCTGATTGCCTCTCGCATAAGTACTAATGAAAGGGGATGATGGGGGATTTCAACGAAAGGCTTTATATGGATATATTGCAATATGAGTGCTAAAAAATCAATCAATCCAACCTCTATTACGTACATGGTTTCTTTATCTTAGAACGTTCTGTTCTCGTAAGACGGTGCTAGGTAGTTGTTCTGCCGGCATTGGTACTGGAGGACGCAATCTGGCTATTGTCGGACTCGGACACGTCCGCGTTGCGGATAATGCTGCCTACAGCCCTGGGAGCTTCTTCCATGGCCTGCGAAAAGCCGTACCATGCTACGACGCCGACGCCAAGGAAGCCGGCTATGCAGCTGAATACTAGGGCTACGATACCTCGGGTGGTGAATCTGGGGTTGTTAGTGACCATGCACGGATATGAGATGGCAGGGGGGATTAAGGGGTTGTGAGGAGGGGGATGAGGGGGAGAAGCGTACCCAGCTGGGAGGGGGGCAGGTGGCTTATTCTGGCCGCTGAGATCAAGGTAGTCCTTTGTGTTGGCTGCTGCGTTGCCCTCAGTGGCAACATTGGCCTTTTGGCACGCTTGGAGGTGAGTGGGTGGTATGGAGAGCGTCTTTTGCAGCTCGGTGGGCGCTTCCACAAAGGTCGCGATGAGGCCGGAAATGACGTGCCACTCGATGTGGCAGTGGAACAGCCAAATTCCTGCACGTTGGTTAACATGTGTGAACTTGAGGGGGTCATGGGAATCGAACACACCTGGGTTGTCGGCTTTGAATCGCAAGACAATGTTCCCGTTGGGCCAAACGACGATTGTATCTCGGCGCATGGGCACCTTGGGGAATGTCTTGCCCGTCTCTCCGCCCTCATCTGCAAAAGTACCGGCCGACTCATTTGAACGGTAGATGGATTGGAAGTTGTGGCCGTGGAGATGGAACGGGTGACGGCCGGTGTCGAGGTTGTTGACAACGATCTGGACAATCTCATTCTTCTTTAGGACAAACGAATGCGTGTATTCGCCGTATACCCTGGGGTCATTGGCCATTTCGCCGGCACTAAGGGCTGTGTAGAGCGTGGGGACCTTGGGGAACGCATAGGTGATGTTGTTGAAGAAGGCGTAGTTGGCACCATCACCGAGGTTGTCCATGATGACATCAAGCTCCACGGTGCGGTCGGGTTCTGGAAGGAGTTCCATGCCATCGTAGGCTTCGAGAGTCATGTCGTCGAAGGCGTTTAGCTCGTCCACGATAGCAGCGGCTGGATAGTCTTTGGATTTGTCGTAGCTGAGCCAGCCGGTGGAGTTGTAGTTGAGCTCCGGGGGGAGCACATCAAAGAGAGTCTATGCGATTCCGGTTAGTTACCGCCATGTCGTATTGTAAAAGAGGTGGGAGGCTAGCCTACCGTGTCCATGCTTGCGACTATGGGAAAATTCGCAGATGCTTCGCTCTTGGTCGTCAGGAGGAAGCTCACTCTCTGAGCGGCGGAGATGTAAATCATTTCAGCTTCAGCGTCTTTGGTGTATACGCCGTCAACTTCCACGATTCGCATCTTGTGGCCCTCAAACCAGAGGTACTGGCCGGCAAAGGCACCAATGTTGACGACACGGAACAAGTAGGTCTTGCCGGGTTGGACAGAAATGGTTAAGTTCTGAGTGTCGTTCATGAGAGCAGCGTTAGGAACGGGCTCGGCTCCAGTTGGGTTTGTCTTGCTCAGGAATTTTGGCATGAGCGTTGAAATCTCATCATGGTACCAATCGGAAAGCGTTAGGACGACTTCCTCATCAACTTCCTTCTTGTAGGGGAACTCAGGATCATGGACAATGACTGGGCCACGGAGGCCGTCAGGATATTGGCCATCATTGTGAGAGTGGTACCAATACGTGCCCGGTTGGTCGATCTAGGACTCAGTTTCAGTGTGCTTGTTCATACACGTGGAGATGAATGGAATTTCTCGACTGCTTGACTTACGGTAAAGTTGTAAGTGAATGAGCTGCCCGGTGGAATTGAGCACTGGTTGACGCCCGCTGGGCCGTCCATGTTGTTGGTTCCATTCTGAAACAGGCCGTGGAAGTGCAGCGACGTCGACTGGTTTCCCAGCTGGTTATGGACATTGATAATTAACCGGTCCCCGACGTTGCACTCAATTGTAGGAATCGGCCATTTTCCATTGATGCCAATCACCGGTCGTTCAAACGCTGCATCAGGGTTGGCTCTAACCCAGGTGACGTTGAAATCGTGGTTGATGGTCGCTGCTGACGCCAAGCTCAGTGATGCAGCCAAGGCGGCTGTCAATCGCACAAGACCCGCCATCAAGATCCAGAGTTTAACTCGTTCGGCAGCTGAAGATCTTGCTCGAGATAATTTGGGGGGAAACGTGCTCAAGTATGGAGAACTTTTCTCATGCGAGGCTCACGATGTTGGGCGTATTTGACGACAGATGTGGTGCAGTCGCACCTTCCTAATCATCAAACGGAGCACTTGCAAAAATAAGCTCACAAGCTGCCCCAATGCGCACAGGTGAAAAGGAAAGAGCGGCCGACCGTGGATGTACCCTGGCTGCAGTCATATGCTTGTAGTCAAGTCTGTTCAACTTTGAGTTTGGACGGAATTCTCCTTCAGATGGATAAGAAGACCACTTCTCGCCCATTCCTCAACTGATTCAGGCTGCAGGAATCAGCCGGGATTCCCAGATACGAAGCTGGGCCGGCCTGTCTCCTCTGTTGGACCACCGCCCCGATATTGGACCGGACCAGGGCTAGAAATTGCAATAGTCTTGTTCCCAGCGGGTGTCCCATCTCGACAAGCGGACGATGCAGAACAGTATCAGCTAGCCAACTTTGGCTACCGGCGGCAATGCAGCACGATGATCCTTCGCTCAAGCCGCCAGTCCACACCCTCCCAACAGCAAGCTGGGATTGCTTGAGGGTTCAGGGGTTGAATCCTCCCGCCGATGGCGTTCTCTTGACTCCTTGATTGGATGTGGCGCATTTTTTGCAACGCCAATCCGAAGAGGGGCTGCTTGGTGCCTCACCTGACGAAAAAAAAAACTCATTTATCCCTGGCCCATGGCCTGATTGATTATGACTGATTGATTGATAACCGTAGCTGAAAGTCAACGACTCCATCTGATAAGCGGATCAATGGCGTCATGACCAAGTCTAGAAAGCTCCGGTATCGACTCGCTAGATTGACAGGACGAAGATCAAAGATGCTTTGAAGAGCATCACCGCCTTAACAGGCGTTTTCTGGGGCCATGTTAGGGAATATCTGATGATACGCTGGCGCACATGGCAGGGGGGTCCCATGTGGCAGAGAGTCATTTTCAGTTCAAAGGTTGGGAACTTTGTCTTCCCGAGAAGGGCAATTCGAAGCGGCCTCGAGACACATTCTGCGAATCGAAAATGCCTGAACATTTTCATCCCCGCTTTCGGAGGATCTGGCGTGGTAAGCAGCATGTGCATTCCCAATTGTGCATGTAGATCGCGCCGAACTTTTTGCGTTCGCATCTTGTTGGCACGTCCCTCGGTGCGTCTGCTGTGTTACATTGACTACAACCCCCCAAACCCCCTTATCTTCATTAGCAATGCGTCGGAAGACATTGGACCGTTATTTACGACAGAGATTTATAAAGGTGCTGCTCGTCTGTCAGCTCGGGTTGCCCAAAAGGATGGATCTCCTGTCCGACTCCCAGCTTGTGTGCCAACTATCAATATTTTGGCCCCCCCTTGGTGCGTCCAATATTTCCAACAAGTTCGACCCCATTTTACCGGCAGGCTTTTGCCGTGTGGATGCCGCGCTAATTGATAAAAACGGAGCAGCGGAACAAGATTTTCTCAACCGACGGCGTATTTTATCCCAGTCCGCCGCGGCTTGATAAGTTGGAGGGGCTGCTTGTACCAGGGCCGACTTCTTGTCTAATCAATCAAGTAGCCTGATGCGACGTATTTCCAGTTACATACCTACCTAGGTAGGTACTTACCAGCAGTGTGATTCTTTCTTATCTGATCCGAATCCTTGACCAGACAATATTCCCCATCTTTGGCCCATCTCTGGGTCTCTTGGCAATCACTTGGCCGCTTGGCTCTCTCGGCTCTCGCCTGGTGCCCTGCGACTGGTTAAGTCTTGGCATTCCTGCGACTACCAGCTTCTACCTGCCGCATTTGTGGTGCTCCAGCTGGGGAGGTTTTCGTCTGCCGACTGATTCCTGGTCTTCTTTTATCTGATTCCCCCCTCCCCCAAGAGGCAGCTTCTTCTTGAGCAAGATCGCTTCCTGACAAACACAACAAGGCTATTCCTCAACATGGCCAAGGACGTATTTTCAGTGCCAATCTTTCTCGTCGTCTTTCGAGAGACGTTGGAGACGGTAATCATTGTGTCTGTATTGCTTGCTTTCCTCAAACAGACCCTTGATGGACCTGAGCGGGATGTCAGGACGTACAAAGCACTTCGCCGCCAGGTACGTTTGACGCACTTTTCGTCACGTCTTCAAACCCTAATTTCGTGTGATAGGTATGGCTTGGTGTTGCTGCAGGATTATTGATCTGCATGGTGGTTGCTGCTGCCCTGATTGGTGTCTTTTACACTGTTGGATCAAATTCCTGGGAAAACAATGAGAACTACTACGAGGGTGCTTTTTGTCTCTTTGCCGCCGTCATCATCACAGTGATGGGTGCTGCCCTTCTTCGAATCGGCAAAATGCAAGCAAAGTGGCGCGTTAAGCTCGCCAAGGCTATTGAATCGCCCGTCAAAGCAGGCTCCAGGGGCTGCTTGTCCCACTGGCTAGAGAAGTACTCCATGTTCGTGCTGCCCTTCATCACTGTTCTTCGCGAGGGTATTGAGGCTGTTGTGTTTGTTGCTGGCGTTACCTTCTCAGCTCCCGCATATGCCGTCCCCTTGCCTGTCGTCGTCGGTCTCCTTGTTGGCGGCATTATCGGTTACCTTTTGTACAAGTAAGGGATGCCCAGAAACTATGGTATTGAACCGCACTCTAACATGCGCTCAGGGGTGGTTCTACTGCCAAGCTGCAAATTTTCCTTGTTGCCTCAACCTGTCTCCTTTATCTCGTCGCGGCCGGTCTCTTTTCCCGTGGCGTTTGGCATCTCGAGGCCCAACAGTGGAACAACGTCATTGGTGGTGATGCTACAGAAACTGGCAGTGGTCCAGGTTCCTACGATATCGATAAGAGCGTTTGGCACGTGAATGTAAGTGGCCAACTACGCAAAGCCCCTAACCATGCACGTCAACAAAAGGAACAGTTTGCTGACTGTCAACAAGTGCTGCTCACCCACTGCCGCCAACGATGGCGGCTGGGGTGTCTTCAACGCCATTCTCGGTTGGCAAAACTCCGCTACCTATGGCTCAGTCATTTCCTACAACGTCTACTGGATCTTCGTCATAGCTGGTTTCATCGTCATGCGATTCAAGGAAACCAAGGGCCACTGGCCATTCATGAAGGCCAAGGCCCCCGCTGCTCGGGAGGACAGCGTCAGTGGAAGTTCTAGCCCACAGGAGAGCGTAGTTGGGAAGTCTGCGAACATGACGGAGAAGACTGCCTCTGCGTAGTCAATCTCAAACACAACATACACAATTCCACCACTATTGGTGACGAGGGGATGAATAATTAGACGTATATATAGTGCTTCCAGCCAAGTTGAGCAAGTCATTAATACCAGTTGGCATATGAAGCGTCTAATTCTCACAGTTCCTCCCACCAAGATCAGGCCTCTGGTGTCCAGTTCCATGTATCCGCAGTGAACAGCCTCCTGGCCATCCTATCTGCATAAATAGCTCCCTCATACCTCAACCTCTGATCGGTCGCCAGGGCCCTGGTAAAGGCAAACGCATTGGGGCCCTCTTCCACGTCTCCATCGTTCCTCAAACCCCCCTTCTCATTCAACCACGACACATCTGCCCTCCTTCGCTTCCAATCGGCCAGTGGAATTGCCACCACACCCGCACCTACCATGGCCGTAACATAGTCTAAAATGGGGTCAATTCGAATCCTCAGCCCGCAGTTTGTATGGTGCTTGTCAATCTGGTAATTGGGACACTGTTTCAAGGTCCCCAACAGCTCTTCTATATCCACCATTGACGTGTCCGGCACGCTGTCCACTGATGACGGCGCAAAGTCCACGAGGTGCAGCAGATCCTTTGACAGCAGGAATTTCAGCATCTGGCCAAACTGGAACGAGTCGCAGGCGGTGCTGGAGTCGTAGCCTAGTTTGCACTGGCGATTACGAGAGGCGTACAGGGTAAGGAAGTGGCGCTGAATGGAGGATATGGTGTCCAGGATACGTTCTCGACGATACCGGAGTTCTTCTGCAATTGGTTGGTTAGAGCTGGAGAGTGTAAAAAGAGCGCGCCCAAAGGGGGGGTGTGTTTACCTTCTATGCCTTCCGGGAGGTGCCACCATGCCCCCTGTACATCCTCCTCTTCGCCGTATACGCCCCAGAGTCGTGAGCCCCGAATGACTAGTTCCCTGCTGGCCTGGTGCAAACGCATCGGCTGGGCCCACCGCCCCGCCCCC